ACGAGGCATAAGCCTCCTGAAGCAACACAGAACCGAGTCTGGGTTCGTTTAGTGCTTTTGAGTGATTTTTTTTGTTAGGATAAACAAGAAGTTTTAGTTTTATGTATCGATCTGCGGATTTTTAAAACATTTTTTTATATTGAAGGTTTAGAGTTTCTTTAGGGATGCATATTGTCTGTCGCTGTACATGCCCGAGTTTTAAACTAAAGTCATCTTGTGCTGAGAGAAGACGTTTTTATCTGTTCTGGTCAAACCTTAAAAATAGTATTATACACAATCTTACACCATATTGTGATCAGCGTGTGTGTGATTGACTCTCAGCTTCAACCACACCAAAGTTTAGCTCAGTGTATGGAAAACTGAGTTATAGACATTTTTATGTTTGTTAACGGTGATTAGCTGTGGCAGCCATTTTGAATGTTGTCGACTCCAAAATTGAATCATGTGAATGGACTATTTTCAGACGGTTTCTTAAATCTGTCCATAAAAACATTTTTTTTAATCACTCTACAGACACACACACAAAAAAACGTTATCGTCCACCTTCGCCCTTTGGTGGTGGATGATAAACGCTGGTGATACAATCTAAATGCCTGTTTATGCGAGGTGGGCTTTAAGGTTTAGCTTGTCTCCAGTCTTGTGTTGGATCCAGAGTAAGCTGGTTGCCATATTTTGACTCTAACCAGCTTTCCATGGATCAGAGACCATTACACAAGCAGAGCCACCTGCAGATGGACACAAGGATATATGGAATGAGGAAACACTCTTTTAGGAGTGTGTATGTGGAAAGCAGCTGGATTTAGGGGTGAAGGTCCTTTTTTAGACTTAACTCTGATTGTGTCTAATCAGAGTGGGACCAACAGGCCCCCTCCCAATTACAAACAGCTCAGCATCTCTCATTAAGCTGCAGGGACTCCAGTGTGGAAGCCACTGCTCTTTGCTTCAGTGGCTCTTCACATCAACATGTTTGGTTTTGTTAACCCTGAGGAATTAGCTTCGTTTTAGCGCTAACAGCCTTTAATTACGTGCATGATTAGGTACAACTGATGACACTGATTGCAGAGATCATTACAACTTGTTTGGTGTGTGAAGCACGCGTTCATATGTGTCCATGTCTGTTTAATAAGCCACAAGTCCGATCGTGATTCTGCAGTGACCGGTTTCTAGAGTTGTAAAACTCACGTGCACCCTTGTCACCTGCCTGACCGGTTTCTTGTGAAATATTTCCTTTTTTTAGCCAAACACCTCGGCTGACAGGGATTTTTTCCACAAATGAAGTGGTGTTTTATCCGGTGCCAGCCTGTGCTGCTCACTAGGCTTCCTTATCACTTATCTGTGTCTCACCAAGGTGAACTGGAGTTCATCGTGTCCAGCTGACTTGTCCTTTGTCCTCCTTTATCTTTGGAGAGAGTGGATGTGTTTGATTATGCAGATAATTGTCAACCAAAAGAGAAAGCGGGGTCACTTTACTATTTTACTTCTTGTAGTGCTCTACTGGATGCTCCTCGTTTGCGCTTCCTGTCATGAAGCTAATAGCTCTTATTTTTCCGTAATTACCAGAGAGCAGGTGTCACTTGTAAACACCACCTCGTGATTCAGTCTGAGCTCGCCAGGCAGGCTGTTCTAGTTCTCTGGTTCATCTGATTGTCTCAGTTGTCAATCGAGACTTTATTAATGATTGGACTGTAACATGTTTACAGTAAATTGGGTCACAGTTTTTCTTCTGTTTGGTGTCACTTACATATTTATACAGAGAAAGTGTGTGTGTGGGGGGCATTTAAAAATGTTAATCCAAGTTATATAAATCAATTAAAGGTGTTTTTTCCTGTACTTAAAGGAATGTCTTGGTGTGTGTGTGAATTTAAAGGAATGTCCCAACTGGTTTTTCTGGCTCTCTTTTCCACTGGTTTCTAGAAGAAGCAAAAGGAGAGACTTCGAGTTGATTCAGTCTCCTAGTTAGCTCTCAGTCTGTTTATAAACCAGAGAGCTGGGTGTCCTTGCTTACTGGCTGCTGTTTCCTGTTTACTGTTGTTTAACACGTCATATACTGCAAATGTTTGGAAAATAGAGAAGTCTTGGTCCATCTGACAAAGATAAATAAGACTTTCATTGTTAGTCTTTTAAAAGCCCTTCTTATGGACATTAACATTTTGGTTGCAAATATTATGATACATGTATTGGATAGCTATACCCTATAGCACGACGGCTCAGTGGTTAGCACTGTTGCCTCACAGCAAGAAGGTCCTGGGTTCAATCCCCGGTTGGATGTGCTTGCGTGGGTTTTCTCCAGGTTCTCCGGTTTCTTCCCACAGATCAAAAACATGCATGTTAGACTGATTGGTAACTCTAAATTGTCCCTAGGTGTGAATGAAAGAGTGAATGGTTGTTTGTCTCGTTTGTCTCTGTGTGTCCCTGTGATGGACTTGGTCCAGGGTGTACCCTGCCCCTCGCACAGTGATGGCTGGACATGGGCACAGGCAACCCCCGTGACCCAAAATGGAACAAGCGGGTAAAGATAATGGATGGATGGAAATACTGGTAATATTTTTCAGTAATGTTCATATTGAAATCTATATTGAAATTTGCAACTGAAGATAAACAATTTCTCTGAAAATGATTGTTTATCATAAGCACATAAAAACTACACTAGTAAAAATTGCAGTATTGCAATGGGAAATAATATTTGGTTCAGCAAATATTTTATTAGAAGTTTATTTATCTCTTACTAAAAGCTAAATAAAATAAAAATGTCTGTGTGGCTGTTTGTTTCTAAATTATCTCATAAATCTTAATAAAACTTGTCAAAATTATGCACATGTGGTTGCACATCTACGATCGATTGCTTTTCCAAATCAACCCTGTGAATCAGTTTAACACGTGCAAAAAAAAAAAAAAAAAAATCAGTGAGGTTATAGCTGAGAGTCACAACAGTCTAAGTGTGAAATATCACGAGATTAGGCATCTTCACTCTGACCAAACAGCTACAGCTCCATGTTTTCTAAAAACACAGACGATCTCAGCTTAAACGGCATGAAAGATGGCGGGCGACATGCATTCCTTCAAGAAACGTAAGGCCTTTATTTATCATAGTGCATTTATTATCTCTAAACTGAAAGTGCATAGGCAGCACGGTGGCGCAACTGGTAGAGCTGCTGCCTCTCAGCGAGAAGGTCCCTGGTTCAAACCCCGGTCCAGGGGCCTTTCTGAGTGGAGTTTGCATGTTCTCTCCGTGCATGCGTGGGTTTTCTCCGGGTGCTCCGGTTTCCTCCCACAGTCCAAAAACATGCATGTTAGGCTGATTGGTAACTCTAAATTGTCCCTAGGTGTGAGTGAGAGAGTGAATGGTTGTTTGTCTCTATGTGTCCCTGTGATGGACTTGCGACCCGTCCAGGGTGTACCCCGCCCCTCGCACAGTGATTGCTGGACATGGGCACCAGCGACCCCCGTGACCCAAAATGGAATAAGCGGGTAAAGAAAATGGATGGATGGATGGATGAAAGTGCATAAAAATAACACTTTCTATTCGAGAATAACCTTTTTTATTATCACCGTTTCTGCTCTTTATTTAAAAAACAACATTGATTCGAGTCAGACCTCTTTGATTATCTGTTATAAAACACTTTACTTATTTCATAACGAGTTCACCATCTCAGTTGTGGCCACAGAGAGGAGCAAACCCTCCCTGCCCAGATCCATGTGCCCTCTGTGAAATAGCTGCGAGCTGCACAGCTGACGCTGACGTGATGATGTCATCGCTCAGCCCGGTGGGCGGAGCTTCGCCCGGTAGACACCCCAGGTGCGCTGCGAAACTCTCCCAAACAAGCCGGGAGAGCTGAAGCGACAGCAGTGAAACTGTTGAACATACCCAGGCAGATTTATTCCTGTTTTCCTTCGGAGTCAAGCTGTGAGCAGCGTGTCGGGACAGATGTGAACACCTGCTGCTCCTCTCTGGGAGCGAAATGCACTGGGAACAATTACTCCGTTTGACGAATGGAAAGGTGAGAAGAGGCTTGGCGCAGGTTTTGGGTTGTTAGGTCTGTCAGTACATAAGAATGTTTGTGGTTCTGTATTTTGGTTTTTTGTATTGAAAGTTCTGCTGCTGACTGTCAGTCAACAATTAGTCATCCTGCTAAGAAGAAGATGAGCCTCAGGTGCTTTTTATATTTTTCACATTTTAAGGTGAAGATATGGTGATGTAAAAAAAAAAATGGTGAGTGCTATTTATTGGATGCTGCCTACTCAGTTAATTTAAATTTTATTGTTTGTTGTTGTGCTTTCTGTGTGACCAGAAGACCACTTTAATTATAAAACTGTCCATATTTTGGTATTATTGTGTTGATGGGGAAATGACTACCTCCACTGCTTGTCAGGTTTATTATGCTCTCAAGGCAAGAAAGTTTAGATATTTAAAAGTTTATGCGGATACTTTCTGACCTACAGAAGAAAAAAAAAATTGCTCTAGGTCTGGAAAGGCAGGAAATTAACAAATATTTTTAATCTGCAATATAAGTTTAAAATATATATATCTTGTCTGACTTGGCCCGTGTTGTAGCCTCTGGAGCAAAGAGGAACAATCACTACTCAGGCTGTTTGCACAGTTAAAAATAAGAAGACCCAGACTGCCCTGGACTCACACATGGGCACATTACATGTTAATGTGGTTAAAATGGTGGCTTAGTTATTTCCACTTCCTTTTCATTATAAACCATAACTTAAAAAGTTAACTTGGGTCTTCCTTTTCAGAGGAACTGACCGTAAGTGGCCTTTTCAGCTGCCTTAACTTGCCCTCTTTCCTGGCAACTGGGCTCAGAAAAAAAAGCAGAACCTTGCTTTGTAACATGTCAGCAAAACGAACAAGAGTCACGGCATGCTGCTCACATGTTTTTCCCTTTTCTGCCCTCCTTTTTACTTGTTTTTTTTTATTACATTCCTTGTTTCCCACCCCCTGTCATTTACCCTCGCTGACCTCCCTTTCCTGGTTTGTCCTCCGTTTGCTTCAGATTGACCGGCTGGAGGTGAGCGGGTTGGGACAAACACCCCTCGCCGTTTCGTGTGGGACAGACGGTTCATTCCCGGCCAGTGACGATGGCACCCCGGACCCTCAGCGCACTAAGCAGGCTATCGCCCAGCTGCAACAGAAAATCCTCAAGCTCACAGAGCAGATTAAGATTGAGCAGACAGCCAGGGATGATAACGTTGCAGAATACCTCAAACTTGCCAACAATGCAGACAAACAGCAAAGTACACGCATCAAACAGGTAAAATGAATAACTGCTGTCAGTGAGAACCTTTAGCTTGCTTATGAGTGCGCTGTCCGGTCATTGCATCACCGAAAAACCTGCTCCGTCAGTTTCAGTGCCTCCAGGCTCAGAGCTTGTTTGCTAACAGTATTAAATTTTTTTTTTAATTTTTTTTTTAATTTAATTTATTAATTTAAGTTTAAAGAGCACAATGTTGATTCAAAAACAATACTGTTCTCTGACTGGCAGGTGTTTGAGAAAAAAAATCAGAAGTCTGCACAGACCATCCAGCAGCTGCAAAGGAAACTGGAGCACTACCACCGGAAGCTGCGGGAAGTGGAGCACAACGGTATCCCACGGCAACCCAAGGATGTTCTGCGGGACATGCAGCAGGGCCTGAAGGATGTCGGGGCTAAAGTCAGCGGGTTCAGTGAGGGCGTGGTGGACAGCGTCAAGGGAGGCCTCTCCAGCTTCTCGCAGGCCACCCACTCCGCTGCCGAAGCAGTCGTCTCCACGCTCATTCGCAACAAATACGGCAGCTCTGACAACATCCCCTCGCTCAAAGACTCCCTGGATGACCCCTCAGTAGAGGAGGCGGTGACTGTTGGTGGAGGACGTTCTCTGAGCAATGCCGGCCACCACCTCCAGTCCAGTCCCAGGTTTGGTAGCGAAGACGACTGCTCTAGTGCCACTTCGGGTTCGGCGGGGGCGAACAGCACCACGGGGGCACCTGGGGGTCCTCCGAGTTCTAAGGGCAACACACTGGAGAGGAGCCAGTGCTCCAGCCTGGACATGCTGCTACAGGAGATGCAAGAGTTGAGGGAGGGTCAGGTGCGGTTGGAGGAGAGCCTGGACAGTTTGAAGAGCCACTATCAGAACGACTACACCGTCGTTATGCAAGCACTGCAGGAGGAGCGCTTCAGGTACGCAACGCAGACCAACACAGAGCTGCCATTTCTAACCCGGGCCGGGTCAGGCCAAAATTATGTGCTTGATGGGCGGGCCGGGTCGGTCTCGGGCTTTTGATGCGGTTGTACAAATCACACAGCACAAGGAAAACTAAATAAGAATGCACAATATAAAATTGTGTTAATCTCCTTGTAGAGGAGGGGGCAGTAAGTTTATATGTTGAGGATGAGAAATAAATAAAATAGAGTGTAGCAGTTGATCAGACTGTGAAAAGAGAGTAGCGCTGGCGCATTGCGCTACTTTGCGCATGTGGCCGTGCCCGCCCTGCTCTTATCACACTTTTGTAATTGACCCACAACAAGTGACATAATGGAGCTGGAAAGTGTTAAACAAAAGCTAAAAACAGGAGAACTCCCTCTACAAAGCCAGCACAGTGAAACCTGCTGATGTGTGTCACGTGCACGCTCGGGTCCGAATGACCAGTTGAAAGAGGTTAAAAAAAAAAAAAAAAGTCTTAAGCTTCAGATGGACAATCGGATCATCATCAGCGCACGTCCACTGACCAGCCAGTTGAAAAAGGTAAAAACAATCCTGTTAAGCTTCAGCTGGATCACCGGATCATTGGCCGCGCACGTCCCTCTCCGCACCCTGGTGTCATCTGTGCTGAAGGAAGTTGGAGCATCTGAAGCTACAAAAACCCAAGCAAGCAGCGCGTTCCATTAAAATAGCCTTGTTCTATATTTTTCCAAATAATTTTGTTCTAAAAATATTTTTGTTCATCTGTATAATAGTATCTTTGGAGTTGATTTTTTTTTATTTTTAGACTATTCGTTTTGTATATTATAGTCCATTTGGTGAAACAAGAAATCTTATATCTTCCTTTGTTTGAAATATGTGCTTAAAATATGTCAAACTGATTTGCTTACAAATGCAGTAAAAGCTTAATAAATAAAAAAATGTCGGGGTGATTTTTTTGGTGTTCAGGCCTGTGATTACAGTTAATTGGTCGGGCTCAGAATAAATGTCTACGGGCTGGGGCCGGGTCGGGTCGGATTTTTTAGGCCCGAACGCAACTCTAGAACACAGAACACTTTCAAGAAGGCTTCAAAGATTCCTGAGACCTGAGCTCAGTAAATGTTCGAGGAAATCCCCACAATTTTTAACGTCGTGTGGTCGGGAACAACTGCTACTTTTAGAAACATGCCTGAGTGATGACGTTTATCACTCAGATTACATGACGACATCTCATCTGCAGCAGCATGCGCCCTGCTTATGCTCCGTTATCAAAACTGGCAAACAGTAGATAAAAGCAAAACCTTGACCTGCTGTTAATCGGCATCATCGTGGACGCTGAACTACCGGTACTTCCAGCTCAAAGTGCCCTCTCAATCCCTCCAGCTGCTTTTGCACCGGCTCGTCTTTGTCCCCACATTAAAACTCCAACTTTAAGATTCACATTCCTCCAGAAGGTTCAGACATTGTGCACAAAAATGACGGAGAGCTAAAGAAATACTGGACATATTTCTTCTGAAAATGTCCACGGTGGCTTTGTTTTTACTTCCTCAATGACCAAATCAGTTTTAGCAAGAAAGAACGAATGCAAAGTTCTTTACAGCCTGCTTATGGGACAAATAACATTCATAAAAAATTATGTTTTGCCAAGAAGCTCCTCTCTAACCGAGCCCATCCTCACCAATGAGTTCATCTGACGTTTGTTTTATTAATTAACACAAAGCTGGAACAATAAAACAAAGAACTGAGCAGTGATAAGGAAATAAAAAAACAAAATCTTCCCAAAAAGGACAAACACCCCTGTAGGAGCCTGCAGAACTTTATTATTTTCTAACAAAAGAGCATTTAAACATTACACAGATACTTTTAAAAGTATTTATTAAACACGGTTGCATACAGTATTTTTCTTCCTAAAACGTAAAACAGGATCTGAAACAAAAAAAGATCAAATAATTTTGGAAGTAAATTTTACAAGTTGCTTGCTCCAAATGTAGAATTCATGTTTTTTATAGTTTTCTCAGCCTTTTGTCTCTGTGATAAAAGCCTGTTGATTTAAGACTCTAAAGGAACTGGAATGTGTTCGTGGTACAGTATTAACATCATATGTTGTAAGAAACAAACACATTCTGTTCTTGACTGCTGTTGTCCATCCCATCATCTTCGGCTGCCACAACAAACACCACAGCCTCACGCTGGCCTCACTCCATTGGCTGGTCTCGTACTGCCAACCCTCTCTGATTGGTTAGTTGGATGAGCTGATGAGTAAGCACATCCTGATCTTATCAGGCCCAGTCATCGGTCCAGTCAGGTACCATGAGGTCAGCTGCCTCCAGGACCTGTATCTGCTAATGCCTGCATGTGTTTTTTTTTTGTCTAAGCTAATTATGCCACAGGCTCTCACGTGTTTTCTCTGCTCGTGTGTGTGTTCAGGTGTGAACGCCTGGAGGAACAGTTAAACGACCTGACGGAACTTCACCAGAACGAAATCCTCAACCTCAAGCAGGAGCTGGCCAGCATGGAGGAAAAGATCGCCTACCAGTCCTACGAGAGAGCCAGGGACATCCAGGTTTGTTTTGTCGGGCCTATGCTCACAAGCAGAAAACAAATCTGCAGCTAAAACACTCTGACTGAATTCAAATGAACATGGAGATCATTCATAGTTTTATTCTTAAAAATGGCTCTAAAATACAGCAAAGTAATATTAACTGACTGGTGGTTACAACATTTGACCTTTTCACCCCGTTTGTTTCATTTTGTAGCTCTTACATTCACTATTGGAATAAAGACAGTAGTTTTCTGTTCCTGTCTTAAACTTATGCAGGTTAATCAGACATCACTGTGTCAGACTGATGTTAATCTGTCGTCGCACACTCTTGATCAGTTTAAAAGAATCATCTCTGTGGATGCTGACAGTAAACAATCCAAGGAATCCTGTCTGTCCATGAGATTTTCTATTTGTCCAAAACAATAATCTTCTTGTAAACGTCTCATGTTACTCCCATCGCTTCCTGTTGTATATAAGGGCTTTGCTTTTTGTGTTTGGTGTGCTGACAGAGTGGCTGCTTCTGTCTGCAGTCCCTCCTGCTGACAGCAGGGGGTGGTAGAGGTACTTAATGGATGTGGACATCTTAAAAAGCCGTGACACTATTCGTTTAAATCAGGGCTATTCAACTGGTGGCCCGGGGACCAAATCAGGCCCATGAGTAAACTCAGTTCAGCCCCTCAATAGGTTCATTTTTAAATAAAACTAGATTTAAAATAATAAAACAAACTTAATTAATCTAAAAAAGTTAAGTCAGGTCCTCTGGACGGGTTCAAAAAAACAAACTGTTGAAACGTTTCGTCTTTCATCCGAAAGACTTCCTCAGTCTGAGGTGCTGTCTTCAGCTCAGTCTTATGAATAGCATCTTCTCAGAGTGGATCAACCAGTGTGTTGTTGACATTCAAAACTAATTGTTCACATGATCAAGTCTCGCATGAAACACGAAACGTTTCTACATTTTTTTTTGCTTTTTGAACCCGTCCAGAGGACCTGACTTAACTTTTTTTAGATTTTTCTACCTGGATTATTGAGCATGCATCAGGAAACTTAATGAGAATAACTGCTGGATGTCCGACCCCTGAGCAGTTTAGTGGACTAGCCCTGATTTAGATCATTAAAGACGATTAATAGATTGATATCATAGATCGTGCTGGGTGTTCTGCCTGGTCTGAGTTTAGATCACTGTTTTTATTCATGACACTTGAGCTGACTTCTTCTTTTTTTGTGTGTGTGTGTGTGCGCGTGTCACCCCATACAGGAGGCGTTGGAGGCATGTCAGACCAGAATCTCTAAGATGGAGCTCCAGCAGCAGCAGCAGCAGGTCGTCCAGTTGGAGGGGCTGGAAAATGCCACGGCACGGACCCTCCTGGGAAAACTTATCAATGTGCTGCTGGCCCTTATGGCTGTCCTTCTTGTCTTCGTCTCAACTGTGGCCAACTGCGTGGTTCCCCTGATGAAGACGCGCTCTCGCTCCCTCTCCACCCTGATTCTGGTCCTCCTGTTGGCCTTCTTGTGGAGAAACTGGGACGCTCTCTCGGGGTACACGCACCGAGCTCTGCAGCCCCCAGGATGACCAGTTTGACAGCGGCACGCGTTGCTTTTGTGTCACCGGGAGATAAGACTGTTGTCGCAGTCACACACAGAGCTTTGAAGAATATTGCATTAGGGCAGCAGCGTGGTCGTGCACGGTGTGCACGTTCAGACGCAGCCTGAAATCAAGATAACGAAGAAGGAACTGGAGTGAAGTAAAGAACGCTCATTGCTGAAGGAAAAGACTGTTTACATTTTTGAAACGATGTGACGTCCCTCACATCGTTCGGTTTTATCTTTAGAGTTTAATCAATTATGATGTTTCTAATATTTTAAATGTTATTTTATTCAGTACCATGTAGCATTACGCTCCTCTCTACATGGAGGGGAGGTTAGTCAGGAAACTGGGCTGGCGACTCACCCCCAAAGGTCCAGTCTAATTTTAGAGATGTGCAAATGTGAGAATGGGGTTGATTGCTTTGAGGAAGAAAACTTTTACTGGTTTGTGATGGGTAGATTTGAACCTTTGCTCAAAACGTACCTGGGACTTGTTCCTTTCCTGCTGTGACGAGTTTGATCAGGAAGGGCATTTTTTGAAGGACTGGCCGTATGACGTCTGTGCATCGTGATGACTAAAGATGCGCTTCATTACTGCCAAGATCACGTGATTTTAATTAATTCATTTTTAATGTTAAACAATAGAAGAAGAAAAAAGTTAGGTGGCGGAGATTATGAATGACTTATGTAGCGGAGAGTTAATGACATAACAAAATGAACATAAAGACAGAACATCTGGTCATTGTCAAGCATCTGCCACGTTTGAAACATGTCCTGCATGCTGTCGTTAAGAAAATTACACACAAACCAGTTTGGCTTTTAAAAGCAATGACAAAGCGCTGTTGTCCATGTAAAATCAATTTGCCTGGATAATTGCCTCCCACCCGCCATATTTGATGTGATCAATTTAGGAAAAAGAGGCCGCTGGTGCTTGTCCAGCTCCGTCTCGGTGGGACCAGGGATCACGCTGCTTCATATCTCCTGAGCGAGTCGCCTCCACTGCTCATGCGATGCTGCACGAACACGTTCTGCTGTCGTGTTCTCTACGGTTGTCCCATTTTGTTACAAACCCTCTGAAAGTGGATTCACTCGGTGCCAAACTTTAGCCAAACCAGGGACGTCTGAGCAGAGGAGGCAGCAAGGAGGTGTCGCTCTGCAGATCTGACCTCTTTCCACATACTTCATGAATGTTTGTTTTAGGACGTGAAAGCTGTAGCTTTTGAAAGTGAAGAAAGCCGTTCACAATCTGAACATGACCTCAGTCCAAATGTTCGGTTGTTTTTCTGCACCTTTTCCTCGTTGTGTCGAGATCACTGGTTTGGCGAAGCTTTCTTGTACTTTGATCCAGTCGAGGGCACGTGGATTAGTCCACTCTGCATTTCATGCCTAGAAGCTGGTTGTTGATCATTTAAACTGTACGGCTGCACTTTAGCACGTGATGCCATGTACGGTAGGTCAGGCCAAGAGGGTGGTCGGTCGCTGGCAATTGCCCTCAGTGGGAGGAAAAGTTGACTCAGGTCAACATCATCTTGGTCAAAAATCTTAACCAACACAGCAGAAGTTGGATTTTTTTTGTTTTTGTCACAATGGAATTAAATTCAACTCTCCCCAAGACGAGCAAGAAGTAAAAACCGATGTAACGATTCGTCTAATGATTAACGAGTGCAGCAGGCAGGTTGAGAGTACGCTGACCTTTAACCTTGCGTGTCCTTTGAGTAACACCTGTAATGTAGGGTCGTGTGCTAAACCACTTCAGTGCCTTCTGACGTCCTTTTCTAAGTGTGGAATAAATAAAGTGCATTCCCAACTCAGTCGTGTTTCACCATCGTTTTTTTTTTTTATCCTTCGTGTGCATCGTTTTTGACTCCTAATTATCACCTGCCGTCTAAAAGGACGTATTATTTTTATCATTTGTGTATGTGTGTCTCCTTATCTGCACCACTGGAGAGCTTTAAATGAATCTTGCAGAAAGTATTCATCAGATGTATGTCTACAACCAATTAAATGTTGGAGTTGACCCAGATCAAATGGCTATAATTTGGCCAGTTTTAGAAACATTGCAATAAAACATGCTGTGGTAGTAGCTGAGAGTCATCCTGGGCCCCCTAGAGAGCAGCTCTCTGCTCCACACAGGGCTGTGGTTGCATCAGGAAGGACGTCCAGTGTAAAAATAATGGCCAGGTCTTCATGCTGCTGAGTTCATTGTGGCGACCCCTGAAGAAGGGAGCAGCCAAAAGAAGAAGAAAAAGTAGCTGAGAGTCGTCCTCAACAAACTGAGCATGACTTCTGGCATGGCTGGTTTTAGGGTTTGACCAAAAATGCCTACAGTTCTAGCTACTCAATATAAAACTTGCTCTTAGTCCTATATTCTGGTGTAAAGTGCAGCGGGTGACGTGCATTCCTTGAAGGAATGTTACCCTTTATTTATCCAGGTAGTCTCATTGAGCCATGAGAACTCGTTTTCAAGAGAGACCTGTTTGGGGAGTGGATGGGGGTTATTAAGGGCCTTGCTCAGGGGCCCAGGGTGGGGCGAATGAGTGTGGGGGCAGGTGTGGGTGCTTCACCTACCCCACCCACAGTTTTTGATGTTGTTGGTACCGGGGCTTGAACCGGCGATCTTCCGATCACAGGCCCACCTTCTCTAGCCTCTGCGCCACCACTCCCTCATAAAAACGTTAAACTGAGCAGCTTAGATACCCAATCCCTAACTGCTCCCCAGGTGCTTCCATAGCCGCCCACTGCTCCACCTGGGTGTATCTCAGGTGTGATGGGTTAAATGCACAGAACTAATTCCGCCATTGTTTGGGAACATACAGTGATGGGAACACAGACAGAGACTCTGCTGAGCAGCAGGTGCCCTGTTCCGCCTGCTGCAGGTTACTTATTTGGCCACTAGGCGGAGCTCTTTCACCTCCCATGTGTGGAGGTTCTGTGTACTGTGTGAGAGGAGGCAGGAGGGGGGTGATAAGGAGTGACACAAATAGTTGTCACTCCTTATCAGGAAGGAAACAGGCTGGGTGGAAGGATTTTAGTGCTCAGAGTTAGTCAGTGTGGACTTTTATTTAAAATAAAAAAATATTTTCACGCCTCTCCGTGGATCTGTGATGCTGCCACACACCTGATCCAACTCCTCACGCCCTGCTGGTTTGGGAATGGGTGGTGTGTGTGTGTGTGTGGGGGGGGGGGGGGGGGGGGTAGTTTGTTGCACTTTATCACTCTCCTCTCTCCCTTCTCACTGATTTGATGCGCGTGGCCGTGCGCCAAGGTAAACACGCGCGGTCGCACTTATCAGCGCTGCTGAAAGCTGCAAGTGGTGACCGGAGGAGAAGGGGGGGGGGGGGGGGGTCGGTCCCCAGAGGAGTCCACAGTAAATTGGCACAGGCGATTCCACGCGATTTAGCATCAACTTTAATTATTGCGTGTACTCTGAGATAACACGCGCTGATTTATGCAGCGAGGCTGACACTCTGGCTCTGTCGCCCCCCAAGTGAGGTGCTTCAGAGCGCATGCACAGTGCACACACCCACGGTCCAAAGCATGCTAACCAGATTCGAGCAGTCTTGTAGGTAAGTGTGTGTGTGCGTGTGTGTGTGTGTGTGTGTGTGTGGGGGGGGGGGGGGGGGGGGGGGGGGGGGGGGGGGGGGGGGGGGGGGGGGCATGTGTCGAGCTTTGAATATTTATGACTTGAAAGGAAACTGACTGTCAGAGTCCGGAAAGGTGCGCGCGCGGTTACGCGTCCATCTGGTTGCACTTTCACGGTTCTTACCGGACCGTATGTGTCCAGAACAGAACCCTGCGGGTCTGCAGAACTAATCTGAAGACTGGGGAGCTCATAAGGTGGGCGTGTGACCCCCCCCCATTAACCTCAAGATGAGCGGAACCACAACGCCCCGGGTGGAGACTCATCTTAAAGGGAAACGTTAGATGGTTGTTGTCCTCCATTCATTTTCTGAGATGGCTCTGAGTTCATATCTAGTGTTGATGAAATAAAAAAATAACAGAAGAGCAATTAATCAAAGCAGACAGAGAGCTCTCCTGGGACACATGTCACATGAGGGAGGCAGTGCCATTAGTCAGGGCTAATGAGATGACACCCCTGCTCTCAGAAAAGTCGACTTTTCCCCTCACATTAGTGTTTTTATTATTATTAATGTCGTCATTCAATATCTAAACAACACATGAATGTAAAGTTTTATTTCCTCTCTCCTTTCCCGACAGTCTCCAAAAATGCGCGCAATGAAATAAATGTAATTCCAGTGGCGCGCATAAATCCTGTATGGAAATATTTAAAGATGCTACAAACGTGATGCTGGCGTGGTGTGTCAGTGTGTGTCAGGAGCGGGACTGCTGCTGCAGAGAGGGACAGAGGCAGAGGAGGCAGCCTGAAAAGAGGAAGCACGACTCGCTTATCGCGTCATTCTGGGTTCAGGCGCTGAGCAGGAAACAGCCTTTCCTCCTGGACTGTCGTTGTGTCGGAACAAACACATTTTTGTCTTTGCTCAATGCACCCCTCGGCACAGAACACGCGAAAGCCGGTCAGAAGGAAAAATGCCTCCTTCTTCCATGGAGATAGCCGTCCTGCTGCTCGGCGTCCTGGCTCTGGAGACGCGCCGGAGCGCCACCAGCGCGCAGCACATCCAACACGCGTTCGCGTCTCCAAACCGCACCAATAACTTCGCGGTGGACCCGGTGTCCAGGAAAGTCTACCTGGCCACCGTGAACACGATTTACCAGCTCAACGGGACCTTGAGCGTGGAGGTGGAGAAGAGGACAGGGCCGGTGGAGGACAACCTGTTGTGCCACGCGCCGCAGCTGCCTCAGGCTCCGTGCGAGCATCCCAAGTCCCTCACGGACAACTACAACAAGCTGCTGGAGCTGGACCGAGACCAGGGGGTCGTGGTGGTCTGTGGGTCTGTCTACCAGGGCTTCTGTGAGCTGAGGAGGCTCGGGAACATTTCGGAGATCGCGGTGGAGTTCCCACCTCAGGGCGAGAAGACAGTTTTCCCCAGCATGCTCAACATCGCCGCCAACCACCCGAACGCGTCCACGGTCGGACTCATCTTCAAGAGCCACGGGGGGAACACCCGAATTCTGGTGGGGGCCACATACACGGGGGCCGGGACCCAGTTCTTCCCCAAGAACCACAGCAAGGAGGACCTGCGCTTTGAGAACACCCCGGAGATCGCCATCCGCTCCCTGAACATCCAGGACCTGCCCAGACTCTTCACCTACGACATCAACCCCTCGGAGGACAACGTGTTCAAGATCAAACAGGAGGTCAAAGCCAAGAACAAGCTCAACTTCGTGCACGCCTTCACCCAGAAGACTTACTCCTACATTGCCTTTAACAATGACGCCAAAATGGGCCACAAGGAGAGCCAGCCCAACAGCATCCTGTCCAGGATCTGTCTGGATACAGAGAGCCCCCGAAAGCCCACCGGGCCGGAGAGCAGGAAGCTCACGGAGTCCTACATCCAGATGCCCCTGCAGTGTGGGCCGAGCGGGAACATCTACAACCGCCTGCTGTCCGTCTACCCCGCAGAGGTGGGCACGGCGGGGGACGCGAGGGGCCCGGAGCCCTACCTGTTCGGGGTGTTCTCCAAGGCGGACAGGACGTCGGCCCTGTGCGCCTTTAGGTTCCGAGACATCGAGGAGGAGATCCGACAGGCCCGCAAGAACTGCTCCAACTCCCCCAGCAGCGACGTGCAGGTGCTGGACAGCGTCATCCAGGGCTCCGGGGCCGCGTGCATTCAGAAGGGGAACCTGGTGGTGAGTAGTTTTTATTTTTTATCTTGTATTTCATTAAATTCATTATTATATTCTATTAGAACAGAATCTAAAAAGTCTATTTAAAACTTTTTAAACTTATTTAATCAGACCGGTCCCTTTACTTTGACTGATTTACATCAGCTTCAAGAGTTGATGGTTTGATTCCAGCAGCAGTCACATGCTGAAGTGTCCCTGAGCAAGACACTGAACCCAGCGGTGTAGTCTACATTTTTGTAGTGGGTATTCTGTGCTTAGAAACCAAAAGTACACTGGTTAGTACAAAATAATTGTCAATTTAGTTTTGATTTTGAAGTATATGGAACATTTCCAAATTTCTCTGATGCTTATATTTCAATAAATGAACATCAAACTTTGTACAACAGTTGACTTTGTATTCAAAACATGTTATAGAATTTATATAACAAAGCAAAACATGCTCAAGTATTAAGTAGTAAGTACAGAATTATACAATAATTTGCTGGATAAGCGAATGTAATAAACAAGCAGACAGATTGTTACAGGAGTTTAACTGCTGTTTAACGTATCAATGACACGTGTCTAATGATATGTCATGTATCATTGGGCACTTGTAAGTGGGTACACTGAAATTATTGAGCTTTTCTTGTGGGATATACCAGTGTATCACATAGACTACACCACTGACTGAACCCCTCATAGCCTCTGATGTGCGTCCCATCGGTGCATGAATGTGATAAAGCTCTGATTAGTCTTTGTATAGATATTGTAGAGTGAATGGATAAATACATTTACACTTTTTTTTAATGTTATTGGTATAAAAGTTGGGCCATTTATGACCAAACATAGATTGTGTATGAACTCACTCAGGCTATAAAACTGACTATTGTCCATGAGCGCCTCCAAACAGTGGCTCTCTGCAGCCCTGGGGCTCATAACTCAGAGGACTGTTTTCAAAAGATCCTCCAGATCCACTTGGAAGGTTGTGAGAAAGTTGATCCTCCTCTCCAACCCCCAGCTCTTATCAATTAAGCAAATAAAGCGTTAAGAATATGATATGCTTTTTATTTGACCTAGATTTATATTTGCGCTGCTAACTATAAACCAGCCACACATTTGGCACGATGGCACGGGACAAATGGCCGCTTTGTCTCTATCCCGTGGTCAGATATCATCTGGTGTATCCAGACACATACCAGACTAGCTATTTTGCTTAAGGGAAGTTTGATGCTGTCCTCTGCACGAGGGCTGTTTGATGATGGCATGAACTTTATTTTGTATTATTCTGGTTCTAGCTGAAGGTCAAAGGACTCTGCCCTGCCACTGTCCTCCTTGTGGGCACTGCCCTTGTTGTTTGGTGTCCTCGGGGCAGCTCTCCCCGTGACGAGATTGCTGACTCCCAATTATCCCGCAGGCCGAACTAAAAGCAGCTTCAGCTGAAAACTTTTGATGTTCTACAGAACGCTCACGCTGCCACTCACAAGGAAAAGTTTGTCTCTTTGGTTTTTCATTTAGCAGACACGTGATTCGTTCTGTAGCTGGCGGTTTGAAGGCCAGCACTGAGGGAAAGTCAGACACAATTTATGATAAGAAAGACGAGGCCCTGAGCAGAAGGGCTCATGGGAAACGACTCTACAAATATCCACTATGCCTCGTTCTCTTTCTTTTTTTCTTTAGCTTGTATGTACTCTAAAATATTCAGAGAATTCCCAGTAGATCCTGGTGCTCAGCCAAGCGTGGCACTAATGTTTTATCACTGCTTGCTGAGGATTTGACAAAAGCAAAGTCTTATGAGTGCTGAACACTATTGTAATCCCCATTCAAGTGTCCACTGACATGCCCAAAAAGTAATTTAGGAGAACGAGCAGCAGCAGAGTGATAGCTTGAGTCCCACACTTCTTGTTTTCCTCACACGTTAATCACTTGGTGCTCGTCTTGTCCTCACTGTCCTGTCTTCTAAGGGATCGAGCTCTTATTTCTTGGATTTGTTCTCCAGTTGCAGCCCGAGCAGCTGGACTGTGGCGCAGCCCACCTGCAGCACCCTCTGGCCCTCCGGAGACCCCTCAGGGCCATTCCCCTTTTCGGAGACTCGGGCCTCAGCTCCGTCTCAGTGGACAGCGTGCACGACCACACCGTGGTGTTCCTGGGAACCAGTAATGGACGACTTCATAAGGTGAGACACACACATGTGGTAACCAGAACCGCTTTCTTCCACCTGCATAATATCACCAAGATTAGAAACATCTGATCTAAATATGATGCAGAAAAACTGGTTCATGCATTTGTCACGTCTAGACTGGACTATTACAATGGTTTATTATCTGGGTGTCTAAATACTTCTTTAAAAAGTCTTCAGTTGATCCTAAATGCTGCTGCCAGAGTCTTAACTGGAGTTAGTGGGAGAGATCATATCTCTCCAGTTTTATCTTCTCTCCATTGGCTCCGTCAAGTCCAGACCTGAATTCAAAATCTTATTTCTAACCTACAAAGCCCTCAACAACCTAGCTCCAGCTTATAGTCGAGATCTTATTGTTCCATATTTTCCTAACAGAGCACTTTGCTCTCAGACTGCAGGTTTACTTGTGGTTCCTAGAGTTTCCAAAAGCAGAATGGGAGGAAGATCTTTCAGTTATCAGGCTCCTCTCTTGTTGAACCAACTTCCAGTTTCTGTCCGTGAGGCTGACACATTGTCCAGTTTTAAGACTTTCCTTTTTGATAAATCCTATAGTTAGGGTTGGCTTGTTATGCTGCTGTAAGCTTAGACTACTGGAGGACAAATTGACCTCATTTTCTTAAACTAATTGTTAAAATTGAGTAGTTTTCATTTGATACTATTTCTATTTTAATATGAGTCTCAACCTGCCATTGTGTATCTATTCCTCTCAAATCCAGCTGGTTGAAGCAGATGATCACTTGTCCTGAGCCTGGTTCTGCTAAAGGTTTCTTCCTCATGAGGGAGTTTTTCCTTTCCACTGTCGCCTTCATGCTTGCTCTAGATGAGAATCTGTGATGGAGTTAAACTCAAAGCAGTCTGCTCCTCAGATAAATAACGTTAAATTATTATTATTTTTTTTACATATGAATGTTTCTGTTCAGCGCCCTGAGACGACTTCTGCTGTGACTTGGTGCCATAGAAATAAACTGAATTGAATTGAAATGAAGCTCTCCTCAGATCGTAGCGTTGTTGGTGTATAATAACAATAATAAGGTCTCCGCTGAACGGAGTTCATCTTTTTAATGTGATTGAGCCCTGAAGCTTGGAAAAACAATTGGAGTGAGTGACGCAGGGCTCTTCTGATGTGGCTGCTGAGGCTCCCAATAAACCAAAGGTGTGCGATGAAACCCTCAGAGCCACTTCAGGACGAGCAGCAACGCCTGCTTTCATCTTGCAGCTTCCCACCACTTCTCCCCCCCACCCTCTTCTTGGTTCACTCATCCATGGGTCCATCCTTAAGTAGGCCTAATCATGTGCCCTAATGTTCCTCAGACCTGGTTCTTGTCAGGGAGGTCACCTGAAAGCTCTTTAACGGATGACTCAGCTCCGGCCATGTGTTGATCCGCGACCTCCACTCGTTAAACATCTGCAGACGGCCCAGCTTGTGAAAAAATGTTCCCGTCTAATTAACAGCATTCCTTAATACTTGTCTCAGCCTCGTTCCCGGTCGCCCCTGACTGAGCGCAGCAATGTGCTCGGGAAACAACACAAGCCGATTCGGGCCCCGTCGTTTTTAGCATCAGTTTTTACAACATACAAACTGCTGCAGGGGTGTTGTTTTTTTCAGGTCGGTAAAAGAACTCGTTGTTTTCCTTCATCGGATGCAGGCACCCCTTTGAGCATGCTGTAAGGGTTATTTTCGGGCATGGTTTGCTGTAAACCAGCTGCACCACGTTGGTTGGGGTGGTTTCAGCACCGAGGGTGTTTATGTGTGTCTCTTTGCTTGATTGCAGGTTGGACTGTGTTTTTAGGTGTTTGACTGTGTCTGTCGGCCAGTGTGAGCGGTTTAGTGAGTCCATATGTTTACTTAGATAAACACATAGCCCGAGATTACAAGCTGTGCATAAGTGTGTGTGTGTTGACCTTGTTGCATCAGAAGTGTGGTGTTTCTGTGACCTTGAGCAAAAACTTGCTATGTGCCTTTCAGCTTGTTGTTTGTCTGTGACTGTGTGTGTGTGTGTGTGTGTGTGTGTGTGTGTGTGTGTGTGTGTGTGTGTGTGTGTGTGTGTGCCCCGAGGATAGAGCTGTTGCAGAGGTTAATGGTGCTGTTAGTGTGTGTAATGTGATTCTGACTGTGAGTTTGGCTCAGACTAAACACGGGGCGCAGTGCTTCAGATTAAGTTAGACCTCTTTTACTGTCTTTCAGAGAGCCCCTCAGTGAAGTAATTTGTAATTACATGCATGTTTTTAATGAAGTCTCTGCCTCCCCATTACAGCTGACTCCCATTTTCAACGTCTGGCAGCTTCCCCCTTTATCTCGCTCGCTCACGTCCAAAAAAATCGACTCCCTCCATCTTTCAGTGCAACCGCTCCACCTTGCCCTCACCAGTTCATATCAGAAGTAAAAAAAAAAAAAAAGAAGTCATTTTGATTTACTGTGCAAACAAACAGACTTTACTTTGTCTTTTTGTTCGTTTCGTCCTGCCACACCTTCATCCACCTTTCTTCTTTTGAGTTTGGGCACATGCACACACACAGAAAATGAATGCACAGCAGCTGAGCACTCCTTGGCTGAATAGGCCTTTCATCTGCATGAAGACAGCAGAGACTGGAGTCAGAGTGACCTGCCGGTACAGCAGGTGTTTTGTTGGCTGACCGGGTGGTGCTTTGTGCCACAGCTCACCTCACTGCTCCTCCTCTCTGCTCCTCGTCCAGGTGTGTGGGCTGCTGTTTGCTTGCTCCTCACGATGTTACTCTGCATATGTGCTCCTCGTCTCTGGGGTGAAGACGCACAGCTGCTTGCCATCACCGCTCTGTGTGTTCTGGTGAAAGAAAGCGACAGTAATATTTGGACACTGAGAGCATGCTTTTCATCACAGCTTTGCTTCTGTGTGCTCTGGTCTACCATTAACCAGCGCGCAGGCTCAGTGGCTGCTGATTGTTTTTGCTCTGTATGTGTGTGTGTGTATGTGTGTGTGGGTCATGCAGAAGAGACGCTCATTCTTGTCACCAGGTGCCAGCCAGTGTGCCTCAGGATGGAAGGACGTCTTCACTGGCGAGAAAGAAAAACGTATCACAGAGCTTTAGTCTGCGTGACAGGAAGTCTCACTCAGGACTGTTTGTTTTTCCTACGCAGCTTTGTGTGTGTGTGTGTGTGTGTGTGTGTTTGCTCATACGTGAGAACGTGACACCATTTTACTATGTGGCGCTGTAGGAAAATAAATAGATAAATCAATGCTCAGCACAGCAGAATCAGGCAATAAAAGAGCCTCGTAAAACATGCTCGAGAGGACAGATATAAAATGTGCACTTATTCACCAAAGTTTCTGTAAACTTTGTTGTGTTTGTTACTCTCTCAAGTTGCCAGATATTGTCATGTTGGTCTTAAAGGTTCCCACATACTTGGGCGTACTGTGTGTACTCTGTGACTGTCCAGAGACGGTTGAGACTTCATACTCGAGCATCCACCCTGAGCGGCTGCAGACCAGCTATGCAGGCAAGGGGCGTTTACCTTTGAGACAAATGGAGTTCGCTGATTGGTCATTTGCTGACACGCCTACTGGATTGATTGACAGGTTGTAGAAAAAAAATAAAACGAGAGCTACCGGAGGCCCTGGGTAGAGGCAGCTGGCAGCCCCAGCAGTAGCGGTGTTCTGTGTTTATATGTTGTTAATAAAAAGTTGTAAAAAATTTAAAAAACAGGGAGCACTGGCCCTGCAGCCCACACATCAGACCAGCCCACCAGGAAATCTCCAGACCCTCCCACAGCCATGCTGGACATGATTTTTATTCGCTTATGACAAATTCCTTCATTTCTCACCATTTCAGTCATGACATCAACGGACGAGGACGAAGAGATCACTTGCCGTTTGGCAAAAAATCAAAAGAAAAGTCCATTAAACCAGATCACCGATGAAGAAGGGTCATTGGTGTCACATACAAAACAGTCAGTTTATTGTGCGACACCGAGTACGTGTACGCGGTCGTAAAAATTGATCTTTGCCTGGACGTGGCTTGAGGGCGTCCGCTTCGAATCTAATCCAGTACACGCAGACGTCTGCAGAGTGAAGTACGCCCGAGAATGTGGGAGCCTTTAGACAGACAGGGATTTTTAACAGTGTATTTTGACGCTGTTAGGACATTGAATTATCACAGCATCAGAACACATGGTCCGGTGAAAGGGATAACATTTTATCATCTGCTGCCAAGTTTTTAAACTAAGACCATCGTATGCTGACAAATACCAAAGGGCTTTTGTCAATCCTTGAAAGTAATGTCAGACACGATCTGAAGTGACGTCCCAAGATCTCATGCAACGTGTTAGTATTCAGATCAGATCAGATCAGAATGCTTTTATTATCCTTGCACAGCGAAACAAAATTACTTTCTGTACAGCCGTCCTAAAGATGGACAGAAGTGAACAGGGGCTGCAGCTTCTAACATGTGCTGCCCCTGTTGCTCACATAAGAAAACATAAGGAGATAAGAATACATCCATTCAGATTATGACTCTCAGCTACTACTGCGACAAATCTGACCGGAATATCTGAAAAACTGACTGAGCTCAACGGTTTAATATAGGTGTGGTGATTCTTTCTGATTTGGGTTGACTCCAAAAGTTATTCAGTTGAAAATGTACATCCAGTGATTAATTTCTGAAAGTTTCATCAAAATTATATTGAGTGATATTTTGCTAACATGATAGACAAATGAACCTACACAGACAAAATTATCATCAACCTTTCACATTTCAGTGGCAGGTGATCACTAGCATGTGTCTAAAATCACCTGAGGATTTAGAAGGGATTAAATTATCAGCCAGGGAGTTTCCTTCAACCAAATTAAAATAAACAGATTTTTAAATATACAGTATAATCTTGAATATAACCACAGTAATGGGCTCACTATTTAATAATCCATGGATACCTCTTGCAGTTATAGTACTGAACCTTTAAAGCTTCCTGTCATTGTGGATAGAAACACCTTCCCAGTAGAAATATTGTAAATGATTTAGTAATGAATAAACAAATCTAAACATTTTGAGCAGATCAGATTTATCAACACAAAAAGGTTAAATCACGTCATCTGGACCAGTTTCTTTAAGTGAGAAACACTTCGTCTCCCATCCGGAAGACGTCCAGATGACTCGATCTTTTATGATGTCATTTACCTGAACGATTGAGTTTACAAACCTTTGATCAGACTTATCACGTTCAACCTACAGAAATATAAAACACCAACATCCATTAACTCTTTATCTTCTGCTTGAGCTGCACCAAGATGCCAAGTTTATTTGATTTATTTTTTACATTATTTTGTGACTTATCTCTGTTCTTCTCAGCTGACCCTCCGGGCGAACATGACCGTGGCCAATAAGAGGACACTGACACTTCTCGCCAGTGAAGCAGTCCACCACATCATGACCTTTGACCCCAACGACAGCAACTTTCTTTACGTCATGACCTCTCACCATGTAAGTGCACAGCTACAGCCGAGGCTTTACAGATGTTTGCTCCTTCTCTGAACTGACTTGTTCCTGTCAGCCAGCTGCAGGAACCACAAGAACCACATTCAGAACACATTCGCTCGTTTCCAGCAGATCCTCCTCACCTTTGTTTAGTGAACATGACCAGATTTGTGGTTAAAGCTCAGAGCTTCTCTTTGTTCCGCGGCTGCTTTGCACAGTTCAACAGTTCGTTCTGAAACCACTCTGCTTATGACAGCACATGGCTGCACCTTCAACACCGAAGCGCCAGATATTTAGCTGAGATGAAATCATTGTGCTTCCTGTCACAGAAATATTTTCATACACTGATGAGATAAATTATGTTGATTTTGCAGGACATTTATTCTGCAAGAACTTTCATTTTAACCAGAAAAATTAGCATTTTCCAGGAAAATGCAGTGGATGCTGAATGACCCTGCTGAATTTTGTGGAAACTGAATTGTTAAATTTAAAACAAGCAGAGCAAAGCTAAAATGAGCAAAACCGTAGCTAAAGGCTAAAGAGTAGCAAAATTGTAGCTGAAAATGAAAATGTAGCTAAAAGCTAAATGTAACTAAACCACAACTAAAAACAAAAATTAGCAAAACTGTAGCTAAAAGCTAACGATTGCAAAGCTCTTGCTGATAGCTGAATTTAGAAACGCCTCAGCTAAACATTAAAATTGACAGAACAGCAGTTGAAAACTAATTGTAGCAAAACCATAACTAAAATAAAAAATTTGCAAAACTGTAACTAAAAGCTAAAGTTAGTAAAGGTGTAGCTGAAAGCTGAATTTAGCAACACCTCAGCTAAAAGCTAAAGTTAGCATGACAGTAGCTAAAGTAGCAGAAGACGAAATTAGATGCTAAAGTAGGATTCAGAAAACTGATTTTAAATGAACTGGAGTGTCTCATTGTGTTTCTATGGGACAGATCATAAAGTAACATTATTTTCAAAGTATAAAAGTGACAAATAGTAAAAGTTAAATTACACTTTTCCCGCTCGAGCTGAACAAGTAGAACAAAGTGTACAGAATTAGTTTGATTGCAGTAAACATGCAGACGAAACAGGATAACGGGAGTGTGAACGTGCAGTTATTTGCACAATTTATTCAGGAACATCTTTGTGTGATAGTTATAGTTCCCTTCATAGACACAAAAAAACTACAGAAATGCACCGTTCTCTTTATCCTGCCAGCCACATGTGTGGTGCAGTGGGAGCAGAGGGATGCTTACATTTAGTTTTTGCCTCTGGTTCCTCCGTAAAAAAAAAAATTAATATATATATATATATATATATATATATATATATATAATAAGAAGTCATTTTCTGCTCAGAGCGTTTGTTTGCACTACATTATTTCTCAGATGCCAGCAGCAAATCATCACATGAGCTGCCTGCAGAATTTTAAAGCATGGTCATTGTCTTTTTAAAATAAGCAACATTTAAAGTGCCTGTGACATCAAATTTTTAATAAATATGAATGCATCTTTGAAAAGATAACATTACTAACGTGCAATAACAAAGTCACGCCACTGAGATGAACAGTTGTTGAGATATTCACATGTGCAGTAACAGGAAGTGATGACAAAGGAGAGCGCCTGCATGTGAACAGAGCATTGCTACATTGGCTAACAACACGGACAGTAGAGAACAATCTGATGTTCCTTTAAATTATTTTGAGACACTATGAGAGATGAAGAAGAGTCAGAGTTCAAATAATATAATATTGTTACAATAAAGAAAGACCAGGGAGTTCCCCTTTGATGTCACTTCCTGTTTCACTTTTGCTGCACCAAATTCAAAATAAAATGTCATTTATGTGATAAAATGAGAACATTAATGAAACTTAAATGTTAAGATGTTTCCTTCTTTTTGTCTTTGGGCTATCTGCATGTCAGAGGTACTTTTATTTACAAACCGGATTAAAAATGGACAAACGGTATATTTTTATACGCAGTTCATTTGTCTCCAATAATTCATCTCAGGGTCGACTAATGTCTGGCGTACAAACAGACAATGACCAGAACTTATTGCACATTAAAGATGCATTTACACTATAATACTTTAAACAAATATTTTCAAATGTGTATACCGGTAATATTGAAAAAGCATTTTTTGAAGGTCTGAATATCAGCTGTCATTTTTGCATGCCAAAGTTTTTAACAGAGATCTCGCACAATCAGCGCTCAGAGTGTGTGTTAGAGACGATGCTCAGCAACTACCACACACATTCTAGCTCAGTATCTGTAAAACTGACTAAGTTATAGACATTTTTGTGTTTGCTACGGTTGTGTAGCTGTGGTGCACACAAACAATTACCGTACATGATCGTCCCCTTTTTGTGGCAGCAAGTACTAAATGTTTGCATATTAAAAATACAGCTTTTCATAACTGCAAATTTAGTGCTATGCTAAAAAGTTTTTGCCATTTTTACACAAACTTATTTTTTAATTTATGGGTTACTTGAGGCGGCACGGTGGCACAGTTGGTAGAGTTGCTGCCTCTCAGCGAGCAGGTGGAAATCCCGGCCAGGGGCCTTTCTGGGTGGAGTTTGCATGTTCTCTCCGTGCATGCGTGGGTTTTCTCCAGGTACTCCAGTTTCCTCCCACAGACCAAAAACATGCATGTTAGACTGATTGGTGACTCTAAATTGTCCCTAGGTGTGTGTGAGAGAGTGAATGTTTGTCTCATTTGTCTCTATTATGTGTCCCTGTGATGGACTGAGACCTGTCCAGGGTGTCCCCTGACTCTCACACAATGACCGCTAGACATGGGTACCAGTGACCCCCACAGCCTGAAAAATAAGTAGTGGGTAAAGATAATGAATGGATGGATGGATGGATGAATGGATGGATGGATGGATGGATGGATGGATGGATGGATTACTTGAAAATATGAAAATGCTTTTTCTCTGATGTCAAAGTTCTTTACTAAAGCATTTGATCCAAATCCTTTAGACGACCTAAAACATTAAAAACAGAGGCAACATCTCAAGGTCAAGGTTCAAGGTCATTCGCATCACATGTGGTGCATGAGATGGAATGAAATTATGAATTCAGGGTCCCAGTTACACTCAAAAATAGCAAAAGAATATATAGTATAAAAAGAAACAGTATACAAGGATGTAAGATCTACACTCAACACTAATAATATAAAAGAATACGGTGTATTAAATCTGAGGAGCTGGAACCAGCAGCTGTTTGGGATTTATTTTTGTTCAGTAACATCTTGGATGATTATCAAAATTGTTGTTGAGTAAATTACTGTTATTTAGTTTGGCAGTGGCCAGCACGCTCCTTATGAAAATACTTTTTCTTTCATCTTCATAACACTATTTAATATAATGTTTGTGTGTGTGTGTGTGTTTGTGTGTGTGTGTGTGTGTGTGTGTGTGTGTGTGTGTGTGTGTGTGT